AAAAATCGAGTGCAAATAAAAATCAAATTACTTTTAAGTGCACAAACAGAGCAGTCAATTTAAATTAGTCACATGCGCAATTAGGTTTTAAACAAAACATAAAATCTAAAATACCTGTAATTACTTTTATGAATTTAAGGAGAACATATGAATTTTTTAAAATATAATTTGAAAATAAAAACTTCAGTATGTCAGTACATAGGACTGATTATTGATGGTAAATGGTATGTTTATATGATTATTTAAAACGATAATGTATTTTTGTGTTTGCTGAAAAATAAGTTTAATTCTAATTTTCTTTCCCTTTTTAGTAAATAAAAATATCAGTAAAGCAGAACCAAAAAAAATCTTTATATATACAGTGGGTACGGAAAGTATTCAGACCCCCTTACATTTTTCACTCTTTGTTATTTTGTATAGAATTGCTGAGAGTCTGTACGTGAACAAACAAAGGGAGGCAGAGACAGATGGGAAGGGAGGCTGAGAGAGATACTAATAATCCACACCTAATTTGTGCAGTCTTGGCAAGCTGGTTTCATCAAAAGCATTGATTCACCTCAGTTTCATGTAAACTGCAGTGAATCAATGTATTAATGAAAGCATTTTAGTCACTTCAGTTTTGTTTGAATAAGTCGTATTAGTATAAGTATGCAAACACACCCAAAACCTAAAGAGCTGGATCTGTCTTCAAGAGCAGAATGCCTCACAGCAGAATTCCCAACCCATGCTGAAACATGCTGGCGAAGTAGAGGAGTGGTCCAACTGGACAGGCAACTTGGCCGATTTATGAGAGAAAAGGTAAATGAGTTCCTAGAAAACAAGGAGTGGAAGTTGGAGGAGAATATTAGTCCATTTATTAGCCATAAAATTAACGAAACATTAACTTCTGTTAAAGTTTACCTTTGGTCGGCTTAAACTTGACATGCACATCCAATGCATTACTTTTCCATCGATAAGGAAAATGAAGTCGATTTTGACTGCCACAATGCCACTCCCTTCACACAAAACCAGATAACAACTCCCATCTTCAAAAACTACATCAGAGAATATGACTAAAGGGAAATGTTACTGTTAATGTTATTACACCTGTGTATTGTGAAATTGAAACAAAGCCCTCAAACTATTCACTACACAGAGGCAAGGACATAATTATCTATCAAACATATTAGAAGATAATGATAATTGAGTGACAATTGAAAAAATCGAGTGCAAATAAAAATCAAATTACTTTTAAGTGCACAAGCAGAGCAGTCAATTTAAATTAGTCACATGCGCAATTAGGTTTTAAACAAAACATAAAATCTAAAATACCTGTAATTACTTTTATGAATTTAAGGAGAACATATGAATTTTTTAAAATATAATTTGAAAATAAAAACTTCTCAGTATGTCAGTACATAGGACTGATTATTGATAGTAAATGGTGTGTTTATATGATTATTTAAAACGATAATGTATTTTTGGGTTTGCTGAAAAATAAGTTTAATTCTAATTTTCTTTCCCTTTTTAGTAAATAAAAATATCAGTAAAGCAGAACCAAAAAAAAATCTTTATATATATATATATATATATACATATAAAAAAAGGATAAAAAAAACACACACAAGACAAAGACTTACAGTATCAAGAATTTTATTTAATATATGTATATAATTCTGCTTTTGTTAATTGTTTAATTTATTATACCCATAAGCATATACATAGACTATAACCATCCATAGCTCATTTCTCTTGACAATCTACCCATATCGTTTAATCATCTTTTAAAATAATTCCTTATAAGATTTAGGGAAAATATAGACTTCAGAAAGAGAGAACAGCCAATTATTTTTCAC